GTTTAATTTTCTCCTCCGTCGATCTCCCAATTTAACGAACGGTCAGATAACCGGTTCCCAACTTTCCTGTACTGGAAACCGGGCTGCGCCCGCAATTCTTCCAAAGACCGCACCGCCGTCCCCCGCCACGTTGGTATCGTGTTACGCGATGCCATATATACCCACTTACACCTATTTTTTAGGCCTAGTTGCACAACTCTGCAGGACTTGCCATCGGACAACATTGTGAGCCCTCCGTTGGTTCGTCACCCTTTCTTTTTTTTTTTTTTTTTTTCGTTCTTCTCTTAATTTCACCTCACACTACGTACCTACCACAACTCCCAATTGTAGGCATACCGGGGAACCCGTAGCAGCCAGAACCGTGTTCACGAGAGAACATGCGGGGGCTGCTCCCGACCTGCAGGTGGGCGATACCGGCTAGGGGAAGGGGACAGCCAGTAGCGTCAGGGACCATGCCAACAGGACCAATCCCTGTGCCTCCCTCAGAAATTGCCGACGCTCCTTCGGATGGGGATATGCTACTGCTCATTTCGACGTCCAGATTCGAATCATGGACTTGGTCCGTTTCCCTTCCAGATGCATTGAGTGCAGCCGAGTTTTGCATTTTCCGAAATCGCAGCGGGGCAGTGTATGTGCCTTTTCTGCCTTTTCCTCCAAACCAAAAAGGCCGTTGGAGGTCGTGTGAGGTGAATTGCGAGAAGAATGTAGCTGACTTTGAAAAAAAAAAAAAAAAAAAAAAGGCCGTTGGAGATCCCGACGTCCACATGTGTGCTGTGACGGATGAAATGGCACGACCATGAGAAAAAATCGAAATGGCATGGCGGCTTTAGCTTTTAAGATGCGTCGTCAGGCCAGGGGGCTTGCCGTGCTTGTGTCCGTGCAAGAGTAAGCAAAGTGGCGCGGCGTTCGGAATCAAGTGGCGGGGGACTTGCCGCTCGCCGCTTGCCGCTTGCCGCCGTGATTGTGTCCGTGCAAGAATAAGGAGAGAGTGTCGCGGCGCTGGCGCTGGCGCGGAGCTGGGAAGCAAGGTGAGGTTTGCCGCGCTTGTGTCAGTGCGAGAATAAGGAAAGTGGCGGGACGTAAGATGCGAATCTTTTGGAGAAGTTCGGATCACTGCTATGGTTGTGTTTTACCCCGAGAAGGAATATTGGGAGAATCTCAATGGTAGGCAAGGAATCTGGAGGGTGCGGCAAGGCTTGCCGAAGGCGGGGACAGAGAGGAGGCCGATCTTCCGCTGGACTCAGTGCGGCGGGATGGAAAGCGCGAACTGCGATTTTTGTGCGACAGTTCTGGGAGAGAGAGGAGGCCGATCTTCCGCTGGAGTCCGTGCGGCGGGATGGAAAGCGCGTCCTATGACTTTTGTGCGACAGGGGCAGGCGGGGAAAGAGTAAGGATGGCTAAGGCGAGGTCGCCGCCAGGAGGCGTCAACAGCCGGAAAGCTGTGCGGGGTATGTTTCACGTTTTTTACTGAGGGCGGGAAACGACGCAACGGTCACGAAATTTTGAATTCTCACGATATCATCATGACTCATCAGCTAATCCCGCCTTTTCGTTATGCCCTTGTGGAGGAGGGCTTTTACCGGTATGGCTGGTACATCTCAGATCTCCTCAGCCTCTGCTCTGTTATTCATTCATGTCCCTCCTAACATGCCTATCTATCAACTCTTTTCAGCCATGTCCCCCCTCCTAATGTGTCTATTCAGCGACTCTTTTCACTCATGTCCCTCCTTATACGCCCACTCAGCCACTCTTTGCACTAATGTCCCTTCTAATGTGCCTCCTTCTCGGTCTCTCTTTTCACTCGAAGTGATTGTCTGTTTGCATGGAAAGGGCACTGATCAACTTGGTGGATGTTTTGTCGAGCAGTATTTGGCTGCAGTGACTCTTCGGGCCTCGCCAGACAACAGACGGAAGCCAAAAAAAACTAGTTCAGCATTTTCCCACAGAAGGTGGCAAGGTACATTTGTTGCTGTGCATAGAAACGGATGAATGTTGCCACTTTCTGTAGGAAGATGCTCTCGTTTTCTTTTTTTTCTGTTTTGTTTGGTGGGTAGTGTGGTGAGGCGCTTCCTTCTGTGAACAAGGTCGCACCTCTGTGAACTGATCGATCGTCTCGCAAAAAAAAAAGTCGACACTCGAAAGAGCAAACAAGTGCGAATTGCTCTATCATGATGGACAGCGTCGCGTACATGAATGATGTTTGTTTTGGGTTCCTCTGGTCCGACGACAAGCTGACATGGACGGCTATGGCTACGATCACTCTTGCTTCCCTCCCTCCCTCCCTCGCTCCCTGCTTCTCTCTTTCCATCCGTCTGTTCCGCCCTTCGTTTCTAGATCCCTTTATCAGTTCATTGATTAGTCCTCACACTATAAGTAAACTGAAGCGTTGATTGCTTGTTGCTTGTGTACGCTTGCTGGTGTGGAGGGAGGGTGGGGGGGTGGTGCATAGCATTGATCGCATCTCTGTCCCCCCCCCCCCCCCAATCTCCGTTTCCCCTCCATCTCAACCCAAGCGGTATTTGGTTCAATCTCCTGGCGTGCATTCGGTCGGTGTTTGTTTTGCTGAGCTGAATGTTTGCGCGAAGGGGAAAGAGAATAGAACGGCGGTGAGGAAGGTCGGATCGCTGGATGTACAAAGATAACAAGTGTGCCTGGTAGTCTTGAATCGATCACGACCTTTTAATGAATGAGCCAATCAACGAACCAGTCTATCGCAGCGAAGTAATCGATGAACCTGTCGATGAACCTGGTATATTCGTTGGCATTTCAGTCAGTTGATTGGTTGACCTGATTTTATCGATTTAAAAAATGTGTACAGTTCATTTGTAGGTTATCTCATTGGTTGATCAGCCAATTAGCCAGTTAAGTAGTCATCTGATTGTGGATATCAGACGCAATTTATCGACTGATCGATGGATGGGTTTTATCAGACGAAATTTATCGCAATTACCCTTTTCCTCCCTTCCTCCCTTCCCCCCCTCCCCCTCCCCCCATCTTCCTTCAAGCAGAAAAGAAAACAGAAAAGATTTGAAAATTTTATTGATATTCTCTGTAGTACGTTGATGCAACGTGGTGTGAAACTCGGACCTCATTGATTTTAGGGGGGAAAAAAATGCGGGGGCTTATATTTTTCCCTCCCTCCTCGTCCCCATCCTCGTCCAGTTTAGCCCATCCTGGTCTGTTATGGCCCCATCCCATCCTGGTCCATTATGGTCCTTCCTGGCCCATTTTCAGTCATCCTGGCCCCTTTTTGTCCTGCTGGCCCATTTTGGTCCATCCTGGCTTGCCCATTACGGCCCCTCCTGGCCCGTCTGGCCCCTCCTGGTCCTTTTTTTTTTTTTTTTTTTTTTTTAATTCCAAACTTTCACTTACAGGAGGCCGGGGACCTCACAATTCAACCCGGAGTTATCCCGGCAGCATCAGCCGGTTTCGCTTATAGACTTTGTTCCTGATCTGATCGAAGTAAAGCTCCTTCACTCTGTCTTGAAACTTGGCTTGGTGCGTTCCTACCTACTCTAGTGCTATGACTATACCTATTCTAGCCTGGACTCCCTGGCTACTACTACACTGGCCTACAGAACGGCCAGAACCCGGCCCAATACGGTCGGGAGGAACATTTTAGGTCCCTTTTGAAGAAATGACACTCTCCTACCCTCCCTACCCTCCCTACCCTCCCTACCCTCCCTACCCTTTGCGGTCTACTGTGGCCGCCGACCGGAACCGAGTGTGCCTGGTTCATAAAAAGAAGTCTCACACGGCAAAGAAAACTGCACAAGCCCAAAAAAATTATATCCTAGTTCCTACTCCTACTCGCACCAGACCAACCAAACCCTACTCACTTCAACCACTCTGTAATCTCCAGTCTACCTTGTGGGGAAATCTTAGCCAGTCGACCCTCCATCGCCCAGGTTTCTCTGAACCATGTCAAGCCTGCCTGCCTCTCTCCACGCAGAACTCTTCGAACCCAGTCAGCTCTGATCTGGGTCCCCACCATGCGTCTGGAAATTTTCTCAGCCTGTGTTTCCTGAAGAGGTTCTCCTTGAAAACCCCTACCATTCCTGTCCAGCCAGATAGTCCACAGCAATGTCAGTCTGACCACCTGTGCTATGTACTCCCACCCTTTGTTGCCTGCAACATCAGGGGGCAGCACTCCTTGCAGAACCCATCTCTTGCCAGTCAAATCATCTTTGCCGGAGAGGGCCACCCAGTGTCTCTCCCACCATTTCCACCACTTTTCCGAAACCTCGCATTCCCACCACAGATGTTGCATTGATTCTGTGGCGTCTGAACATCTGTCACATTGAATTCTCAGCTCTATCTGACGGTCTTGAAGCCATTTGGCAGTAGGGACTGCCAGATGAGATTGTAGCCAGGCCAGAGAAGCCAGCTTCTGGGAGGGAACTACCTTCAATTGTGACCAAAGCGTGGTCAATTCCTTTTCTGAGGGCGGTTCTATTTCCCTCCTGGTCCATTTTGGCGCATCCTGAGTGAGAAGGTGACGAAAAAAAAAAAAAAAAAAAAAAGAGAATAACATTCTGATACGCTCATTGTATGATTTCCTTTTTTACATACAGTGAGTGTATGCGAATGGCGTACAGTCAGTGTATGCGACATGGTTTGATTTGGACTCTGTATAGATAGGTGAGAAAATGCGGGGGTCATCTTCCCCCCCCCCCCCCCCCCCTTCCCCTCTCTTCTCCCCCTTTTGATCGGGGTACAAATACGTAAAAGAAATAAATCAGACCGAAATGGTTGGCGGTGTTGTGTGCATGCATGCCACGTGCAACGTGGTTTGGAAAGCTTCTTGTGATCACCTCATGCAAGGACTTTTTCGATTTCTCTTAGACATCACTTCCTTAATTAATTGTAATGATTTTCGTTATCCTCCCGATCAATGAATTTTTATTTTTCCCACGACAACGGCCCATTGTATTTTACTATTTTGAGTTTTCCGATTTATCAATCCACACTTCTTTTGTTTGACAATTTATTATTGTAAGTGTACTCGATAATTTGTTATATGCCATGATGATGATGATGATGATGATGATGATGATGACCAATTGGATGATGATGATGCTGTCATCATCATCATCATCATCATCGTCGCCGTCGTCGTCATTGTCGCTCTTCTTATCATCCTCCTCATCATAATCGTCATGGATAATCGCCCGTGTATCGTGACGATTATGCCTACCTTTTATCATCCACCTGAGGAGGGTACTACGTATGTCTCTGCGGAATGCTATGCCTTGTATCCTCCTCAAGATGAACCACACGGCACAGCGTCAGAGCCTGCTGCTGCAGCTCTCTCAGTCGGCCACTAAACTGTTCTTTGCTAGAATCTCTCTCTTTCTCTCTCTCTCACCGTCTTTCTGTCTCTCTCTCTCTCTCTCTCACCGTCTCTCTCTCTCTCTCTCACCGTCTTTTTGTCTCTCTCTCTCTCCCGGTCTCTCTCTGTCTCTCTCGCTCGCTCTGTGTGCCTGTCTGTCTCTTACATATATATTGTCACACTGTGAATCAGAGCGCGAAGGCGGAAAAAAGCAAAACAAGGAAAGGAAAAGAAGGAAGGAAGCCCCACCTGTTCATCACCTCTTACGTACAAGGCCAGCCACGGGGATGACAGGTTGAGCGCCGGCTGTCCCCATCCCCGTGTGTCAAAGAGGTAAAGAAAAGGAGGAGGAGGAAACCAGACCTCACGGAGGCAAGAGAAAGAGAAAGGGATCCAATCCAAGAAAAGACAAAGGAAGAAAACAAATGACACCTCCCACAGATAAACCAATTGCCACTGTCTCTGTCACTTTCCTGGTCTTTGATTGGCTGTCAAGTTTAGTAGTGTGAGACATTCTAAAAGGACTGGAGAATCTAAAATGCAAGTTTTGTGCGTTTGCAGGGGCGCCTATCCTACCCTGAAGAATTTCCGGTTCTTGCGACGCTTGCACCTGAAGACGATGATTTCCTTGACACCGGAGCCGCCAAGTAAGGATCTCTGTGAGTTCTGCCAGGCCGAGAACATCACCTCGCGACACTTCTACGTGGAGAAGTTTCAGGCATGTGCTCTGTCTCTCTGTCTCTCTGTCGTTTGGATGTTATGTTCTGTTTTCGCTCTCATCACCCAGTTCCGCACTGAAAGTGCATCTGTAATTATACTTGCTGGCGGCGAAGGGGTAGGAGGAGGGAAGAGGGCCAGGGAGGGAGAGTGGAAAGAGAGGAGGGAAGCAGAAGAAAGCAGAAGCAAAAGAAGACGATTCCCAGTTGAAAACGTGCATGTTTCCCCGACTCGTTTCGGCCAGGCTGCGCTCCTGGCACTCACTCCTCAGTGGGCTTCTTCCCAGATCCGCCTTATGGCACCACCCAACATTCCGGTCAGTCTGCCCTCTAGATATACTGTTCCTATATCTATCTGCAGGCGTAGTCACACACACACGCTTGCCCTCTTCTACTGCGTCCGTCGGTTTTCGAATTCAAAATCCACAGTAGAACAACCTATTGCTTGCTGCGCGCTAATTTGAAATTTCCAATGGCGCGCCACTTTCCTCTTCACAATAGTGCGGGTACTAACCGGCGGTTAATAGCTAACCAGGATTTTCCACGGAAACGGAAAACCAATGGGAAAAAGGCAACAAACTACTTCATGTTTCGTGTATTGTTTTCAAGTTTGTAAAAATATTGTGGACTTCGTTTTATAGCGATATAAAAAAAAAAAAAAGGGACTACCGTGTACACCCGCGCATTTAGTGAAATCCCGAGCTCGAAATGTAGTACTACCGTCTTCACCCGAATAGAACGCCCGGCAATTGTGGCCGTATGTGGACTGAAAGCTGCGTTAAATACAGCTATAATTCCCGGGCGTTCTGTTCGGGTGAAGGTAATTATGGGCCGTATGTGGACTGAAAGCTGCGTCAAATACAGCTGTAATGACCTGGCGTTCTATTCGGGTGAAGACGGTATAGTCAGGTCAATAGCCTTTCAATGCCAAACGTTTTAATCCTAGGCTATTGATTTCCGTCCCGCATTGGTACTATTGAATCCGGACATACAGCAGGGCTCAGATCTAGGTAGCCCGTGTGACCAGCAGAGAAAAAAAAAATTGAAATAAGCCTTCAGCAACCTACTAATAATTCTGATTTATAAATCCGAATCCGAAAATACACAGAGCAGTACAATAATTTCAGAAAAGCCGAAAGTTACCAAGGAACGGGCAGAATAAACATCCCACCCACTACTCGTCCGTCTTGCAGGCAGAACCGATGAATCTCGATGGCAGCAATATCATGCATGGTGTCCAAACGTTCTTTAGGCCTACTACAAGCCGCAAATATACTACCACGCGGGTACAGGGCTTCGACCGCAGCCAAGGTACTAACGCAGGGCTGTAAATATCTAGGGTCTGCAAAAGAAGATCGCCATTTCAGCATACCAAACAATCAAGTAGCCTTTTCCAAGGCTCCTTGAATGACTTAGTGCCCTTTGACAAACTGTGCAAGGGCTTTGAAGAAGAGCACCGCCCGGGGGGGGGGGTAGCCGCTGGAGTTCTTGCTTCATGGCTATCACAGGGAGGGTAAGCGTACAACCACAATTGGCCAATTGCTGAATGCGGTGGAGGCTTCCTGTGATAGCTCCAATCTTTGCTCTCTTATCCGAATATGAGCAGAAATCTTGGAAGCAACAATACGTGAGCTGCTGATGGCGGTCCATGGTACTCGTTCTTGATTTTTGGTTCCAAGAGGAAGCGGATTCTGCCCTCGGTAATAGTGATCTGTGCGCCGATGAAATCAATGGTGTTGGACTCATCATGGGTGCCGCGGACAAGGGAGAGCTTGTGACCGTAGCAATTCCCAAACGGATCCATGATATTCATGGCCTTCTGAACAGTCGCCTATTTCCTACGGTTGAAAGCGACGGCCAAAGTAACGTCATCCATGAATCTAACTGCATGAACCAGCTTCCGATCCTTTCCAAGCGAGTTCAGAAACTCGACTTCGAACCTTTGCACAGAGGAGGCAAGCCAATGGTGGTCTGGAATTTTCCCCCATTGGCACTCCCAACTCCAATCCTCTGTCTAAGGAGTTTTCCCTTCATGACCTGTAGGTATTTTGCAGTTCAAAGGCTACAAACTGCAGAATCTGCAGAATCTGGTGAAAACTGTTTTCACATAATCTTTCCCGAACAACTTCACTCCCATGGAAACCAGCTTTCCCCTTCTGCTCACAGCGACGCAATGGTATCCTCTCTCTTCCCACGTCTTCAGTAGCCAGTGAACCGCTTCCAAAAGTGCAGCATGCGGCAGTGATGTAAACATTTTTTTAATATCAAATCCTCCACCAATCACCATAGTGTGCTCACCATACAGCTGGAGTTTTTTCTCGGCCAGCAGGAGTTTTTTCTTGAGATGCGCAGTAGCTGTCAGGTTGAAGTCCGTGACACCTGGGATCTTGGCAAGTAGGTAGTTCATCGCCGTAGCAACCCAGCGACTACCTGTCTTCACGGGCTCACTGCAGGCTGGCGCAATGGGTCGAAACCGTTGGTCCAATCGTCCCTTTACAGTACCACGTGGCGAGTTGGTCCAATCCATGTGTTTTGTAATCTTCCTTCATCTTCCCCAGTACTGCCTTTTCATTGTTGGGGACGGCATCGTATGCAATGTTCCAAGTGAACATCTTATCGAACCCCCTTTGGTACAGCAGCAGACACATGATAACCAAGTCTCCAGCATCCCTATCCACTTGTGCGACAACCAATCCTCAAAATTTCTTCTTCTTCACTGCTTGGACAAGCTCCTCGTCTGCCGCGTCCTTCCCGCTGCAGCAACCTGTAGCAAAACAATTCTCCAGCTGCAATTCTTGGAGGTGCTTTTTCACTCTGCTCCCTAAAACCGCGGTAAGTCCTTGTCTCAGACTATCGCTGAGTTCTTCCAAAGATGTCTCAAGCTTCGGGCGTGTAATGTTCTTCCATGCTCTTCCCGTTAAGCACCAGCTGAGGTAAGTTCTCCACCTCTGCTATTCTAGTGAGGACATGTCCATCTGTGCGTGAAAGTTCAAAACCAGAACAGGTACAGCTGAGATCTGCATTTCTACTGAGGGACCGATGGTTGCACAGTACCTCGGCCACATTTCTATTCCTCCGCTCTATTCCTATGCTAGACAAACCGTAGTTTCTTCCCCAGCAGTCCTGCAATAGCAGGGTGTAATCCGCAGCTACTAATTTTGCTTAACAGTACGTGTTTGACCTCTCGCTTCTTAATCTCCTTACTATACCTTACTCTGACTGTTTTCTTCCTGACATTTACACAAGCCTTCTTCGACACTGCATTAGCTACAAATTCCTTCACAGTCTTCCTAGTACTCTTTTCCCTTGAAAGTACCAGCACTGCTGTACAAACACATAAGTTTATCTATAGACATCCCCGACTGCTCCTCGAGTTTGCATGGCATCTCCAGTAGTTGGCGTAAGTACCTTTTCCCCCTCTCCTTAGCATTCTGGGTCAGGACAATTGGCGACACCCAGAAATGTCCTCCAGCTTCGAACTTCCACTTCACATGGGAGAGCGAAATCTTGCCATCTACTAGGATAACAGCCGATGCTCCGTACATCCTTTTCACCAATGCCCAATCTTCTCCCCAAATATCCCAACCTTCACAGTACAGATGCACTCCCTTTCTACCTTCCATACGGGCTGTTTGAAGAATAAATTTCTAGCTAGTTTTTGCCGCAGAACAATGCTGTGGACGAAATAGCAAGATCCTCGACCGCTTTTTCCCCGTAGTCAGCACCCTTTCTCTAGCCTTCCGCTCTCTCCTACCTGACCTCTTCTTGGTCTTCCCAATCCTCCGTACCAATACTGTTCAGGGATGGGGAGAAATGCTTGATTAACGTTTTCTCCAAATCTACCAAACCTCCGACGTCCGATGACGCAATTGGAATGACAACATACTTACTCCAACCATACTTTTCTAACCAGTTATACAGAGTAATGGCGTTTTGCTTCCCCCTCGGTTCTCAGAACATTTGATGTGCTCCCACCACCTTTCAGCCGCACCTCTAACCGTCCTACCAATGTAGGTCTTCCTACACCACCGGGATACTAAGCAATAAACGACAGGTAACCAGTCCCCATTGTACGGGACGAGATTGATAAGCTTCCTTGCCCAAGGTATTTGCCCATAAACCGTGAGCAATACTGTACTAGCTGCAAGCGCTCGCTCAGCATTCAATCTGAGCTTTGACAGTCCTGTATGCCCCCAGATAGCGTCTCTAAGCTTGAGGAGGCCTGCGATGGTATCCCAAGTCTGCTTATGTTTTTATGTTTGTTGCAGCATCAAAACGAAATTCTGAATTTTCTATAGAGGCTGGATTAAAATATTTCATTTTAGGTGCATTTTCCTCTGGGATAATCCGCGTTCGCTCGCCACTACTAACAGAGTCTTGGTTGATGTTCTTTCCTTTAGCTACTTAGATGTTTCAGTTCACTGAGTCAACTTTGTTGCGGTTTCCCGATAGGAAATCCATGGATCAAAGAGAGCTTCTCCCCATGGCGTTTCACCTTTCATTGCGTCCTTTCTTTCTCAATGCCAAGGCATCCACCCAGGGGCTGACACCATCATTGAGAAAGCTCTTCTTCTGGTTGGTCGACCTCGGCTCTTAACTCTTCCAATCCATTGTCGCAATCGTTGCCGGATAACACCATGTGGTTAACCAGCCCCCGAACCGCTTGCTCTTTCGTAACATACGTGATGTTGCTCTCCTCGCAGATCTTCTTCACTTCACGGAAGTCTCTCTTCATCAGTTTCTCCCAAGCCTCCAATATCTCCTGTATGATTCCACCTTTGCTACAGGATGGCCCTGCTTCACGAGTAGTGAAGTGGGTCGGCTGTGGAATACGTGCTTTCTTTATCTGATTAGCCTTGTATTCCTCCCTCGTTTGTGCTCTCATTTCTTCTTCGTATTCGTCCGCTTCGCGAAATCTTCGGGCTTATCTCTTCCCTCTGTTTTTTCGTGGTGGTAGCTTCTTACCATTGTCCTTGAGGGCATCGTCGTCCCTGAGGTAAGA